ACCTCTCCTTGCCTTATATATTTTAAATTTTTAGTTATTCTTTTAGATAATAGCAATCTTTATTACTTGTTCGAAGTTCTTCACATCCTGTGTTTCCTCATGGTTCCAGAGCCCTCCAGAATTTTCTTGAACTATCACAGATTTGTTACTAGCATAGCTTTGTAAGGGAAGAGCACAGAACAGGGTAGGCACATGATAAGTCCCTGCATAAACATACAGTTTTTAAGCCACCAAATTGCTTTTATACTGCAGTGTGTTCCATCCACAGAGGCTGTTTTCATTCTGTTGTCAGCACAGCTTTGCTAACACAATGATGCCCTTGCTAGGAATTCTTTGCTTTTATATTGCATCAATAAGTCATTATTAGCACTGGATGATGAACCAGAAAGGTTATGCAAGTGCACAAATCTCTTTGCCTCATGCAGTACCAAACAGTTTGACCATAGGAATCCAGGAAAACAAGTTATCTTCTAACACCAGGGAGAACTGCTTCCAACTTTAAGCTATAGCATTCCCATACACTGACAGATCACCTGAACATAAAGAAGAACTTCTTTACTGTGCAGGTGACTGTGCACTGGACCAGGCTGCCCAGAGAGATTGTAGATTCTCCCTCACTGGAGATACTCAAGAACTGTCTGGACACCATCCTGAGCCATGTGCTTCAGGATGGCCCTGCTTGAGCAGGGAGGCTGGACCATCTGACTCACTGTGGTCCCTTCCAACCTTACCCATTCTGTGATGCTGTGATTCTGTGTAAATACAGCATTATTTATTACTGTGAATCTCTTCAGAGTAGTCATGCTATTTTTGATCAAAAATTTGAACAAAGTGCTTCACACTGTGGTCCCTGGGAAACATTTTTTGTCCTATTTCTGTCTGCAGATACATCACTCTCCAATCTCACATTTAAACAGGGGGCAGGAAACAGTGGTTTAGTTGCTCTTTGAGCTTTTCTCACGACACCAGATTGCTTTCAGTATCTTAGAAGGTACAGGTGATCAACCATGAATACAGACAGATTTACTCCTGCAAAAAGAGTAGTAAACCATACATCACTAGAGTGATTGAGTGCCCTTCACGCTTGACTCCTGTAAGAGCTCTAATACAGCTATGCTTGAAAAATCTCTCCGAAGCTGTTAACTGCAGCAGTCTACAATTTAAAGCTAGTGGGCTGAAGTGTCTCATAGCATAGTTCTTCATGCTGTCCAATTTTTGTAATGAGATATAAAGTACTGTCCACAGGAAAAGAATGGTTATGATTTGGCTGTCTTAAATCACTCCTTCCCCTTTGCCTGGGTGTAACAATTAAAATAATAAAGTGCACGCTGAGGACTGGCACTCAATATTAATGTAGGTCAAGACAGAGCTTAGGGCAGAGAGAAACCTTCCTTCCTCCTCTGAGTCATGGGTCACTTCACTTTTTATGGGCAAAACATTTAGGCCATAGAACAGCTGTGCCAAGGTGGCTCAGTGCCAGCCATGCCATGCCTGGGCTATCCCCAGGCTCTGCCACCTCAGGGGACGTGCTGCACTACCCAAATTTGTCATTGCCTGGACTTTCACCAGCCCCTCACAGCATGAGGAATGGGAAGTTGATGGCAGCTGAGTGTGGTGGTTGTTTCTTTGATTACAGCAACCTGATCTTTTGGAGTATCATTACCCTTGGGAGTTAGGAACCTCTGAAATGCCAGACTTGGTATGTGTTGGTTTGGCACCAATGGGCACAGCCCACAGAAGGTTTAGCTGTACCAAGGGTGACAACATCAGGGGTAAACTTGGTCCCTTTGAAAACTTCTGTAATGCATTTCCACAAAGCTGACAGGGAACACTAACATGCTGCTTAACCTCTTGCAGCACACAACCCCCGGAGCTCCGAGCCCGTGAGGCAGATGTACCAGAGGAAGCTGTCGTGGTTCATGGAGCACTGCCAGCTCATCCCTGCCCTGGGGGCTGCCGCAGCAGGACCATACCAGGAGCCAAGGTGTCGGCCCCAAGGCCTCAACAGCAAGCTGCAGGTCTTTCTGTCCCTGAAGGACATCCGGCCTGGTCTTGTGTAGCATGGGCTGTGTGTGCCCTCCCCATGCTTCTGATGATCCATGGAGTGTTGCCATCAGCCAGCATGGCTAGAGCGTGGACTGTGAATGATGTCACATCTTCTGAGACCAGTTTGTTAACCACAGGAACTTAGAAATAAAGTCTGTTTCAAGTCAGAAGTTGATAAGCTATTAGCGTCCAAAGGAGGGCTAAGAATCATGGTATGTTAAAGGGCTGGGATGGACCTTAAAGCTCATTCAGTCCCAGTCCCCCTGCCATGGGCAGGGACATCTCCCACTGGACCAGGCCGTTCCAAGGCATCATCCAGCCTGGTCTTGAACACTGCCAGGGCTGGGGCAGATGGTGAAGGGCCTGGAGGAGAAGCGATGTGAGGAGTGGCTAAGGTCACTTGGCTCGTTCAGCCTGGAGAAAGGGAGGCCGAGAGGAGACCTCATAGTACAGTTTCCTCTCGAGGGGCAGTGGAGGGTCAGGCACTGATGTGTTCTCTGTGGTGAGCAGTCACAGGGTGCGGGGGAACGGCAGGAAGGTGTATCGGGAGAGGGTTAGGCTGGAGATTAGAGAAAGGGCTTTCCCAGGAGGGTGGCAGGAACAGGCACAGTGCACTGAACAGGCACAGCGTGCTGAACAGGCACAGTGCACTGAACAGGCACAGCGCGCTGAACAGGCACAGCACATAGGAACAGGCACAGCGCACCGCACAGG